TGATTGAGAGACACTTCTGAGGGTGGTTTGGCTCGGGCGCCAAAACACACAAGATCGGAGTTCTTACTCTGCAGAAACAGGGTTACCAGTTTATTGGCGACTGAACCATCAGGGAACCAGGCATCTCACATTAGAAAAAAAACGTGTTTACCTGACAATGAACTGCAAATGCCAGAGTGCCAAATAATATACGCTCTCCCAGCTTGTTAGGTCCTCGAGTATGTCAGAGTTTCAAGTGACTGCTGGGCTTTCAATGTGACATCACGCTTTAATAGGTTTTTAACATTATCTCCCTTTAAGGCTTTCTGATTTTATTTTGTCTCCTCACTGAGTTAATCCTTTCCTGTCACAGCATGTTGGGGGTGCAGCTCAAATCAACTGACAAACACAGACCACAGACAGGCCGGCGAGCACTTCCTCTCTGCTCCTCCGTCCTCTGGAACAGCACTTTACAAAAACGCCATGCCGTGGCACTAACTAAAAGCTCAAGCACTGTAGTGTATAGGTACAATTTGAGGAACTTTAAGATAAGTATTTCCATTTCTGTTTAAAATTAAACGATACTCTGCGTACATCTTAGTACATTTATCTAAAAACTTTAGTTGCTTCAGTATTCAGTATTATTAACCCTCTATTGTCTTAGTTTCCCCCCTTACTTGGTGGTTCGCGGTCAAAATTTGACCGTCCTGTTTGAACTGCTATTACATTAACACAGAAAACCGATTAATCATCACCAAATTTCATTTAACACCCTTTCAAACTGTACAATATCTGTTACAGATATGGTTAGTAGCGTGAAAAACTGCAGTTAAATATACAGAAGAACCAGACACTGAGACATATATGTGTGTGCCAGGTGTGATCATGTGGGGGATGGCGCACATCAAACGAGAGGGAAATGTCTCAAATTGTTCTGTGTGTTCTGTGTGTGTGTTGTTGTGTGTGTGGTGTGTGTGTGTGGTGTGTGTGTGTGTGTGTGTGTGTGTGTGTGTGTGTGTGTGTGTGTGTGGCTGTGTTGTTGTGTGTGTGTGTGTGTGTGGTGGCTGTGGGTGTGCTGTGGCCCGGTGTGTGTGTGTTGTGATGGGTGTGTGTGTGTGTCGTGTGTCCGTTGCTGTGTGTGGTGCCTGTGTGTGTGTTGTGTGTGTGTGTGTGTGTTGGTGTGTGGGGTGTGTGGGTTTATCTGATGCCGGCATGAGTTACTAATTCCTTTTCTCTTCAGTCACCTTTTGGACCGGCGCACTGTGCCATGGGTGTTACAAAGTTGACTAAATCATCCAAAATTCAACGAAAGTGGTGATCAGCAATTGTATATGTTCAAATGTCTACTGTGAAGGCTATCATAAAGCCTTAATGCAATCGAATGTAAAACAAAAAAGTTATGATTGATGAAAGTAGAAAATCGGTCAGATTTTACCCGAAGAAAACAGGAGGGTTAATATAACATTTCAAAATAAATGATGATCTAATATCATAGATTTAGCTACCCAGCAGCATGTATAGTAATTATAATAAGCTTTTTTCTCAAAGTACTGTACATATTTGTGCATCAGTAATACTAACACAGTAATTAAACATATATTATTGTAAAATGAACCATTTTGCATATTGAGTATGCATTTTGGTTTAATTTCTTTTTAGATTTATACTTAAGAATGATAAGGTGAGTAAAACATAACTTGTGTTACGACGTTTACATTATTCAAAGATCAAAAATACTTTTTTCACCACTGGAAAGTTTTCATTTTAAATATGTCGCTGGTGCTTTTCAGACTGACATTGGTATAATGTCTCATATCTTTCAGCATATTTCACTTGAAGGAAGATCAGGCCACTGAATTGAAGACCACACACCACGACTAAATGGTGTTTACACAAATCTTTAAATAGTCAAGCATATTTCCTCGTGAATACAATGTAGCACAATCAGAAAGAGACTTAATAACATTTAATTACAGTGCAAATCCGTGTAGGGGCTTAAAAATTCTCCTAATGATTTAGATGTGTTTAGATAGCTCGTTTTTTTGTATGTCTGTCACTGCTCACATATTTTTCTGTATAAGAGTTTATGCTGTGTACATGAAAATGTTTGTGGTTCTTTAAACTTGCTTGCAAGGAGGCTTTTCCTGAAGTACTGGCATTTCCTCTTGTCATCAATCCAGCAAAACTCCCTTTGAATGTCAATGTGGTAAAGTAGAATCTATTTATATGACTGCAGCACTGCTGACCTCCATGTGCTGTTTTCTTATGACAAACCCTTCCACCTACACATGTTACATCTCGCCAATCATACAAGAAAGCAAGCACAAAGCCAATGTTTGACTTAAATCTCTTTTGGAACTAAGAGTAACAGGGCGTGTGGCTATAGATGCAGTTTGGAAAATCCAGAATGCTAGCGGAAATTTGTTGCCAAGGATTCATTTACTACTTTCTTTTTGGGCCTCTGTGAGCTGCTGCTGCCCAATCCACCATACATTCTTTTTAGTTTTTTCTTTCTGTAAACTCTTTTAATTAACTCTGGTCAATAGTTTTAATCAATACAAGATTTAAAAATTAATAGTACACTGTTGGGGAATTTCTGACTACCTCCACAAAACTGAGCAAAATCCAACTGCTAGACCATATTTTGTTGAAAAAGTAAGTGAGTTGTTTCTTTCTTTACAAAGGTCATCAATTACATTTTACATTAATTGAAATGAAATAAGTTCAACATTTTGGCAATTACACCTTTTCTGCTGAGAGTAAGTTAAGAAGATGTAAACTGTCTTTGGTATGCTAAATATCACAAAAACGTAGCTTAGCTTAGTTTAGCATGAAGACCGCTAACAGGGGAAAGGAGCTGGTCTGGCAATGAACAAGATTAACAAAATATGCAGGTCCGCCCCTCCCTACATGCAGATCACGCAGACTGCGTGGGGCCTCACCTCACGAAGGGGGCCTCATCTTGCGGAGGGAGCCTCATCTGGCGGAGGGAGCCTCATCTGAAGCGCGAAGGCGGTGCACCTTTACTGCGTTTATGCGGCGCAATTAGTGTAAGCGTGCGACAGTTTCACCACGGCGAGACTCCGGCGCTCGCAGTTCACGCGCGTGCTGCACTAGACTTCCCCCGTCCCTCGTCGACGCTCTCGACTCAGAGGGCCTCATCACATAACTTTGCGTGGGGCCACATTGAATGAGTAATTTTTAAACCTACACACATATTGTACACACACAAACAAACAAACAAACAAGATACAATATGTTAATAAGTCTCAAATGAGACAACAGTTAGCTAGCTAGCTTATCTTATTCTGTCTCCACTTCACGACTTCTTCCTTGAGTTGCGAAGGCGGAGGGACTGTGCTAGCTAGCTAATTTATACTTTTGTCCTAAAGAAGAGGCTTTGGTATCTTCTGAAGTAAGTTTAAAACCAAGCTAGCTGTTTCCCCATGCATGTGACTGTCTCCTGGTGGTAGCTTTAACTTACAGACATAAGAGTGCTATCAATCTTTAGGAATAAAGCGCATAAGAGTCTTTCTATACAAATCAAACAATTAATGTAATGGCTATAAAGAACCAGCCATTACAATAATTGTTTTATTACTGGAACTATTCTCCAATGGATTACGCACCCTAGACACGCTCTATTATTGCTTGCTATTGTATTTATAATTGCAGTAATTAGCCAGGAACAAGGTTTTGGAGCCTTTGCTTGGTTCCCCTGAAGGTTAAAATAGTTTACGTGACACATAATTCGTAATTTTTTAAGCTTTCCGTTTGTGTGTGATTGTATTTCTCTGAGTACAATGTGTTACCTTAAAGGACATGTGCTTTGTATACAATATTCCCACCCTAAAAAGTTGGTTCTGATTCTGATTCACTGGCTTGTGGCTGGTTTGACTTGTCTCTAGTCCCACGGGAACCACGCTGCTGTCCCAGACAAATCCTACTGCCAACACGCCAGCCTCCAGAGATGTAGGCCAGCTTAAGCCCTACTTCCCCTCCAGAGGCAAAAAAAATCCAAACAAAGTAAACAGTAAGCACCTAGTAGTCAACTTCCTTATCCTTGTTAATTATTCAAAATCCCGGGGGAGAGACCGGCCCACAGTTGTCTTCTGAGTCACTTTTTTTTCCTCATACAAGCACTCACTCACCACAAAGCCCCCCCTTCTCCTGCCTCCCCTTTCAACTTCAAACCCAGTCATTTCTGCAAGCTGCGCTTTGATTGTACCAAACACCTGTATTTTTCGAGGAGAGACTTCCTTGCGAGCCCCCGCCTCCCATCTTTGATTGTTAAACAGCAGTGGCGCCGTCATTACTGTGTCTGTGCGACTGATGCCGCCCAGCTTCCCCTCCCATCTTCCAACTCCTTTCAACCAGAACTTTAATTGCTCAGTGAACATTTGGATTGCTTTATTTTATCTAATTTTCAAAAATCCTTTTTTGTTTTTGAAGGGTTGTAAAACTTTAATGTGCCTTGCTGGATTTATCGGATGATGATCACAGATTTCGTAACAGTTAACACTGAATACGAAATGTCCCCACATTTGTAATAAGAAGTGAGAACTTATTTTTTAAATTTAGAACATATAGTTAGTCGTAGCCAGATAGACACACAGACTGCAAAGGTTTTTCTAACTCACCTCAGTACTTTAGTAATCCTTCAGGAAGACAAACAGACAGACATACACTTACACACTCACACACAAACACACACACACACCTTTGCAGCAGTAATACCATGCTTTATTAGACGGCCTCTCCTGCCATCCTGTCTCCCCCTCAGATTAATATCCTCTGGGCTTCTCACCAGCTGTTTCCGTCCCATAACACCCCTCATCTTCCCCCGGCCGGCCCTCTGCTTCACATGGGCTTACAAACTGGGCCACTTTGCCTGCGTGTCTCTAGGAGTGATCTTTGGCTTAACACTTTGTTGGTTTGTGTGTGTGTGTGTGTGTGTGTGTGTGTGTGTGTGTGTGTGTGTGTGTGTGTGTGTGTGTGTGTGTGTGTGTGTGCGTACTGTAAATGTGTGCGAGGTCTCGTTTGGGTGTGTCTGCCTTTGGCTCAGGTGGGTGTTTACTTCTCATGGTGTTTTTACTGTTTGTGTGCAAGGGCAGACAGGATGTGCAGTGCTTGTCAGCATGCTCCAGGAGATGAAAGGCCGGAGAGGGTGTGGAAGTAGCCGAGTGCTGTTCAGGTAACAGGTTGTCTTCTCAGAAATCTCTCAAGAATTCTGTCCTGTTGCCTTCAGCATTCCTAGTGAGCCACCAGTGAGCAGCACTCACCACCATGCTGCTTCAGAATATATCTCAACACCTCCCACAAATCTGGCCATAACTGAAAGCCAATAGGGTCCAGGTGCTCACTCTGAAAACAAAAACACTTGTCGAACCTTTGGAGCGTCTCAGTTGGCACCTCTTGTTCCCTTTACGCTCAAGTGTGCGTGTGAGCTGTTATTACACTACTGCCATAAAACTGATTGCATCACCAAAAGAAACAACATGAGTCAGTTTTAAGAATGGTGCCTATGACGTGCATATTGATGAGCAATAGTTACGGACACGACAGCAGTCTGGTTTGGTCGCAGACTTACTAAGAATGTTGTCGGTCTCTGAAATGCAGTTGGGCGGGTTTCTATTACTAGAAGTAGTTACAGGTTCCGAATCCTTGACATTCCTGGTTGTCTCCTCTTGTTAACGCGGGGGAAGTCATTAGTTTGACTCTATGTTGTCTATTTACCTAATCTGAAACACTAGATTGTTATGTGTTACATAAAAGCATTTGAGAAGCCGTCATTGGAAACAAAACAATATTTGGCAGGTGATTGGACGAAACCAACGAACCAACCTGTCAATAACAGGCTCACATCAACCAATTAGATAAACAGGATGAAGCCGGTCGGGGGAAGATTCAAAACATATTTTCTATCTAGAACAGCCATAAATGCAGTTTTTTTCTCTTCTTTCAGGGAAATAATACTCTCCAGTTCTGACATAAATGATGCTACACCATCTACGCTAACCTCTTAATGAGCCAACAATGTTTTTTGGTTGCACAGTTGCCTCTCTTTGTTGTTATGCACACCTAAACCACAGATGTCTAAATGGTAACCCCCAATTTGCAAAACTCTTGCAAGATATTTAGGGAAAGGCATTTTGTAGTTGTGTTTGAGATGAGTCGTCGGCAGTCATCTTGTGAGACTTACTGTCTCACAAGATTTTTCGCAAACTTTCAAAAATCTATGCTGGAATTAGCAGTGGCCAGAAATGTATTCAAATTGGAAATGTGTACTTGGATGGTCTGATTAAATTGTGGGGTCAAAGGTCAAGGTCACTTTGACCTCACCTCCGTCCTGTTCTTGTGAACGCAATATCTCGGGAGCACCTTAGCTTCAAACAGCTACTTGGACTTGAACTGCTCGAATTTGGTGGCCCAATGTCAAGGTCACTCCGACATCGCAACACGTGGCCACACCTCAAGAATGTATAAGCTATGTTCGGCAATTCTAAACAACGAGGATGAAGTGATGACATTTTGGACAGACATAGGTTCAAAGTGCAACTTGACTTCTTGCCAAAGGAATACATTCATAATCATAATGTGGAAATTCTCCGAAGCTGTTCTGTGGTCTCCACCAACTCCTGACTGAAATGCTAGCTCTTTAGCAGCTAAATGCTTTACAATGACTACTAGCTAGTAGCTAACTTTTGATGATTGACTTTGAAGCTTTGATTAGATTAGTTGTTTTTTCAGCCTGTTTAGAAACAATGAGCTTTGTATGGCTGAAAATAAATTTGATAGAAAGTTGGTTGAAAAAGTTCAAAAAACACTAAATGTCATTAAAATGATTGAATGTGTCAATACAGACACTGTGTCCACACGCACCGTTTTGACTGGACTTTCTTTATACTGAATATACATTACATTATAAGACAAATATGACCATCGAAAGAAGCAGGGACTCCGGTCATGGAAGACATGAGAACATGTTCAATAATGTTAGCAGCTTGAAGAAAATGTATTCGCCTTCACTGGATTTGACTTGAGAAAATATAATAATGCATTTCTTGAAACCACCAGATCTAAGTGTCTGATCGTAGTTTGGGTGGTTTGACCTTTTCAAAGCTCTGCAGGATTAAGTGGAGTTTAGATTTGATCAATGCAAAGAGCAGGTGAACCGTTTTGGGAAGTGTCTGGAAAGACTGAGCCCACAGACAGGAAGTGTCAACAACATACAGTAATTCAATGAAACACCGGCGATAGGACACACCCACTCCATAAACCCACTGACAAACAGGAATTCGCCCAACTTTAATTACACTGATTAGCCAACATGTGATCCTGGTGTAG